GATTAAATTATCTGAATTCGCAAGAAAAAAGAAAAAAAAAAGATTAACGTTTTGGGTTGTGCTTCAAAAATCTTTAAAATAAAACAAATTTAGATCATTTTGACTGGTAACAGTTGTTTGATACATTCAAATAGATATCAAAAACAATTTTACATATAAAAAAAGTGAATTTTTCCCTTTTAGCATATTATGCATAAAAGTTCTGATATACAACTTCTTTCGATGCATATTTTATGAGTTGTTTGGCACTGCTAAAAGATTTTGCCCACTTATGGTTACCCCTTCTTCTGCTCTCCCTCTCAAAAAAAGGAGTAAAAACAAAAGAAAAATGAAAAAAAAGACAAGAAATAAAAAAAACTAAGACTATTTAACTTGCAGGTCGATACCGAAATTGTGAGTATAAGTTCAAATTATTTTTTGTTTTCTAGTTTTGTCACTGATAGATAAGATAAATGAAAGAAATCCAGTAACCACTATACTGGTTAACTTCATACTGTTTTCCTATAAAGTCTAATGCTGTTAAAAACTGACCACTAGATTCATCAAATACTCTATTTCAACAGGCTTATCCCGTTTGAACTAATCGACGTCGTCCTTAGTATGCAGACGTCCTTCATGCTGCAGATAAGCAATGTACCCTACGATTTTCAGTAAACAAGCTTTGTTTTCCAAGTGGAAACCATCAAAATAAGACATCGGAAACATCCACTGTAGATTTTTTTATTAAAATACTATCACCATCACCGGTATTGAAAACACATGATCACTAGTGACAAAATTTGGTAAACCAAATAACAGATTTCTTTCTAAACAACTATAAATTTGTCTAGATAGTTTTTAAGACAGATAATAAACGAAGTTGTAATGGACAAAATTTTTGCGGGTAATACTATAATCATTTACGGTTGAAAAATTTTGAGATAGGTATACACGATTAAAAAATATAAATAACGAATAAACGAGAGAATTTATTGTAATCTGAGCAGTTAATGATGAGAAATAGAATACTGAGTCAAAAACTTTAACAAGAACGAATTATTAGATACTTACACATTAGCATTTCTTAGAATTTGAATCTTTTATGTACTAAAATTAATTAGTTTTTTTCTATTCTCTTTCCTTTTCCCATTTTTTTCCCAAGTTGATCGGTTTTTTAAAAGTAAATTAGAACAAATTCTCTGAATACCGGGAAGAATAAGTGCATAACTAACTATAACAGACTTTTTCTTTCATAAAAGGAAGAAAAGACTAGAATTTTTTAAAAAGATACTTTTTTGCTTTTCAAGCACTATTTAAAAATCCAAAAAAGAAACATAAAAGTAGAAAACAGTTAAACCAATTATCTAGCCAACAAATCTCTTAACTCACTGTTAGTTTAATTTAATTTCAAGACGTCGAAAACCTTGTTTCAGAATTGCGTTAGATACAAAACTATGACTATTCATTTATAATTTAGCAATGCAATCCCTAAAATGTTTTCAATGACAACAGCAATGACGACAGCGACATTAGTTCTCTAATGTGCTTTCCAGACAACCGGCAAAAGTACTGGGATTTCCGCTGTCATTCAACTTCAGATAGTTGATGTTATCGGTTGTTAGTCTCCAGCTACTTATCCGACCATCAGTATGGAAGTTTTAATCAATAATCCTGAATCAATTTAACGTTCTAAGCAACGTATTACTGATTTTTTTTAGAAATTGTTTACTGCTGGGTAACCGAAAAGTCAAAAGCGACAGACAGAATTGAAGCAAAAAACCAAGTATTTTGCATTTCAGATACCTAAGCCAATATTTTTATACAATTTTAGTGAACTTCAATGTGAAATAAATAGAGCGACTGGTGCTGACAAGTAAAATTTAAAACTCCTTACGCGAGGAGTCAAACTCGCTGAGATTGGCAGGAAATCCCCTGCTCTACTTTTTAACTTGGGAATCCAACAATAAAATGAGCTCTTAATTCGTGAGAATTCCCTCAAAACATTAGCTGACCGCAGCCTTATCTGCAGTCATAAACCTTGTCAAAATAAATTCTGCAATTGATACATAGTTGTCATCGTGTCCAAAAAATAAAAAATACCACCAAGTTTCACCATTTCAAACGTCAGAGGATTTCCGTGCAAAACTCATCATTATGACCAAGCAAAATTGAAGTACATAATCCCAGCTTCTTTTTTCTCTCCGTTATATGCAGGTGCTTACTGATCATTGATGTAAAAATTCCTGAATGAAAACTGCCTCCCACCAGTTCTACGTCGATTTCAACTAGTATTCTCTTTCTAGTCTTCAAAATATTTATTTATAAAACTTTCAGTGATCTCCCCTTGCAAACTTTTTAAACTGTTTCGAAACAGCCTATTGATGAACTGGAAATTCTAATTTTTCTCATCAAATTTCGCTCTGAATATTGAAGCACTAACCCGTACTGCGCAAAAACAATTGTTTGAAATGACATGACAATTGTATCTTTTTGCTCCAAAAAGTTTATAATGACTTCGAAAGTAAGAAAAAAAAACAGAAGAACGATAAGAGCATAACGATAAATGAAACTCTTCAAAAGTATCCTGAGCCAACGATTTAATGTTAGCACTGACCAGCCTTGACCGCGCCGACCAATTTTAAAAATAAAATTCTCTCAACATGACTACCAATTTCACGCCAAACAAAAGTTGAACACATCTATCAAACCGCTTTATCAGCTCATATAATTTCACAGTACTTTACATTTGATAACTTTGAACAATCACCAATTTTTAAAATGATTCCAATGAAACCAACAAAACAAGTAAACAACCTGCGATGTCTCTCATCTAATATTGAAATCCTATACTATCGCTGCACAACACATGGGAACATCCATAAGAAAATAAAAAAGAAATGGTTGTTATCAATGCATGACATTTTCATAACTTCCCGCAGTTGTATACCTCTAATATAAATAAAAGAATGTTATTCAAGAAATCGCAAGTGACTTCCAAAGATATTACCTTATTAAAACTGACTACACATTTGCGACATGACATTGTCATCAAAACCACTGAAACAACTTAAGCGAAATTTACGACCCAAACACGAAGAAGTCTGCTAAACTGAGGTTTTCATAACTAGAAAAAAAAAAGAAAAATGAAGACTTAGTAAATAAAAAAAGAAAAGCCTACCTTATCTTTCAGGCTCCTCGTGACTGAATATTTTTTTTTTTGAAAAGCTTTACCTTCTGAGCAAGTTATTCTTGTATTCCAGTACTAATTCTAGTGTTGCTTGAGCCTTGCTAAAGAATCATCAAACTTTTTGGTCAACTTAAAAATCGCCCCCTTTATACCATCATAACGATTATGCTATAGTCCTCGA